AAGAAATTGACCAATCACAGTCGAATGTGAGAATGGACTGCGCGATCCGTGTGTCAAAATGGTCGATAGGAATGAGAGAGAGGGACCGTGGCAGACGGCCATTTCTATCTCTTTCCATTCAATAGTGTAATGGGAGAGAGAATGAGAGGGGGATTGACCGTCTCCCACGATCCCTCTCTCATTATTGTCGACCACATTTGATACATTACTTAGGGTGCGATTACATGAAGCGCGGAAACGCGGAAAAGCGGAAGACAAAATTATCTAGATTTTACTAAATTTCCGCGTTTCCGCGCGTTTTGTTTCGTCTGTTTTGATCTCCTAATATTACATGGAGCATAATTTTCGCGGAAAAGCGGAACGGTATAGTGACAAATACACTTAATTCATTACAATTTTTATTAATATGTTTATCTTTTTAGCTTTTGCATTGAATACAAGTATTTTAATCAATAAATATCATTAAAAATTAATAATCTCTAATACCCCGTTCCGCTTTTCCGCGAAAATTGTGCTCCATGTAATATTAGGAGATCAAAACAGACGAAACAAAACACGCGGAAACGCAGAAATTTAGTAAAATTTAGATAATTTTGTCTTCCGCTTTTCCGCTTTTCCGCGTTTCCGCGCTTCATGTAATCGCACCCTTATAGCATTTTTGGCCCGATCGGGTTTGCACCAACCTGGGTTGGATTAATCTTTCCTATTGGTTGACGTCACCCGCTCTACCGATAGGAGAGCACAAAACGCCATTAATCCAACCCAGTTTGGTGCAAACCTGGCCGGGCCGAAAACGCTATTAGATACGGTTCGCGCAGTCCATTCTCTATGCCTTTGGCCTGTTACTATTTTTGTGGATAGATTAGGTTAGGATCAGTGTATATGTGACGCTTTGTTTCCGTTATACAAGAACTGGATAGAAAGTGATTGTCTTGCAATTGATAAAAAATTAAGAGGAATCTTTAATAATTGATTAGATTCTTCATCAAATGTATATTAAACCTAGATATGATAGATAACGTTACGAAAATCATAAAACATGAGGCTAAGTGATAGATATACTCGTCGTACGCGTATCGCTTAGACGTAATGAAAATGACGTACCCCGGATTAGTATTACTTGTCGGAGTTGGAGTTGGAATAGCGACTTTTCTGTATTATGTGTTCACTGAAAATAACCGCACAGATGGACAATCATTATCATATTCGAGAAACAGAAGATCGTCCGAAGATCATTACGAAGACCGTTCTTGGACGACATCGTCGCATCCAACTGAAAAGTATTCAATACGTATACATAAGTATCATTATTTGCGCATTAAACGATATCATCTAATTTTCTTTTCTTCGAATTTACTTTCCATCTTTTCGCGGATATACATATAATTCTCCATAATGTAGTAGAAGAAACATTGTAGCTTTTTTTTACTTGAGAAACAGAATATTACGATATTAGAAACATGTTATATATTGTATGTTTCTATAAGAAATATTTACTTTCAGTGTACTATTAAATAGAAGAAGTTCATCAAATTCTTCGAAAAGTAAAGAAAGAAGAGACCTCGCGACAAGTAAAGATGATATAAACAATTGTTCAATCTGCCAATATGCATTAGTTGATTCGGATGTAATACAATTACGCCCTTGTAGACATAATTTTCACAAGGATTGCATTAATGAATTGACAAAATATGATCCTGGGGTAAAATCCGAAAACATACTAACTAGACACAAACTTATGAGGCATGCACAAAAATTCATGATTACACTTGTTTATGTTGCAGGCCCTTTGCCCTAATTGCAGAAGAAAATTTAGACCCGCGATATAAAAATACGCATCATATATGTGAAATACTGTTTGAATTATTTTCTATGGTTATTTACAAATATTAATGAATACATGGTTGTTTCACAATTTTATCATAGTTGAAGTATTTTTGCGATATGTTCAAAGCAATATGAAATGCACAATCTTTTTGTAGTAGCTTGTCTCTAATGATCGAGAAATTATATATACATAATATATTTATAAAATTTATAGTTTTTTTATAGTGCGCTTTGCAGAAAATAGGAAATAAAATGTTTTGAATTATGCTTGTAAAGTTACATATTACACATAGATCTTTTAAAATATTATTCTGAATTTATTCTCTAATTGATTACATATTTATAATGCTATCTGTCTGTGTTGTAAGAGAAAAAACAATAATACAATTTACATCAATAAGAATATACAACTCTAGAACTGGTATCATATAAAAAGATTTGTATGATTGTAAAGTCTTAGTACTTTCTATCAAACAAATATGTGTAACTATTACTCTCCTTTCATCAATTGATAGTATCAATTGAACCTAGTAACTTTGTTTAGTTACGCTAGAATTATGAGATTTATATCGGAGAAATATAGGTAAATATAGGTATTTACCTTAATCCTTAGCTCCCCAATCAAAATGTTACAGAAATTTCAGTTACATTTGCTTAGGAATCTGGAAATTGTCTCTAGCGAATGGTACTAAAATAGTTAATAGTGTTGTATACTTATAAGATATTAGTCTTACCCCTTCATCTTTATATAATAAAGTAACTAGTACAAGAGAAACTACATATATATATGTATACATATATGTATATATACATTACGATTATACAGATACAATTGTACTAATATATCTGATGATTGTATGGATAATTAATATATAGCGAGAGATGCGATATACATTGTATAATCGATCCGCTTTCCTTTTCGTTTGTTAATAAGTTGAAATAACTTTTTCGTAAGGTATCAAACTCTGCTCGCGCCTGGCTACGTATCCCGCAATGCGAGTCGGTATGTATGTGCGACGCGCGTATTCTGTAACGTTTGTCTAGTGAACGGCATGGAAAGCGAGGTAGTCGCGCTTTGGTCAGTAATCCGGGAAGCGTTTCCGTTCGGTCGATACCAAAGAGAATCTCTGTCTCTCGCGTATACCGTTTTTCTCGCATAGCCGGTAATTACGAATTCAAAAATGCGAAAAATAGTGAGAAAAAAAAACGCGAATCGGTGATTATCAGCGTTTCCTCCTCCTTCCAAAATGTATCGATGGAACGAACATGACAGGATTATTGTTCGTTATACTTGTCGTAACTCACGCGGTCGTAGGATCGCGACTATCCGCGACCAATGAGAAACGAGGTATGTATCTAATTTGTACATCGATATAAACTGCGAGTGTAGCTGAACGAACATTTAATCCGTCCTTTTCTTTTCTTTTTCTTTTAATACGCGGATACGAGACGTGTGCATTGGAAGATTTTATATCCTCTCGCGCGGTTTACTTCAAATTCGAGCACACCTTTATTATATTTAAACGAAAGACGAATCTTGTGATTTAATAAATATCGTAAGACATGATTTTTGATCTATTCGATTGATTGTGAATCGAATGTTATTCACGATATCACTCTAGACGATAAATTGTTATGTAAAACTGCGCTTGTAATTATAAGTTATAAGAGGATTTGAAAGAAGAAAAATATGCTATTTGTCGAATTTATACGAGTGGCGGATTGCAAAATAAAATTAATGTTTATTCACGGTTTTTTTCGATATTGTTCCTCTTATCCTTTTTTAGATAGTATAAAAAATTCTTTAACAATACAATCTCTCGAGTACTATATAAATCAATCAGGATTGCACGACGGAATAATACAATGCGAAACTATAATAACAAAAACGCGTTTTCATTCGATTGTTATTTAATCAAAACCACGACGAAATAGTAGCGAAATGCAATTTACGGTTAAAACTTTGAAAAAGATCGCGAGGCACAGAAATAGACATACAGAAGGATATTTCCTTTTCATAAAATGTACTCGTATTTATTCTGTGTGTGCAAATACACTCAGACTGCAGGGTTAAATATCGGTTGTCCCATTTCTGGACCGGTTCCACACGATCAAAAGAAGCAAAGCGAGTGTAAGCGGATTGAAACAAGTTGCGCGTTAATTTTTGATTTTGCTCATGCTTCGACTTCTTTAAAAGGTATAACAACTTGGTGAGATATTTCGGAACGTCGTGCCACGCCGAATCGATTGAGAAAATAACGTATCTACGACAAACTCACCTGTCGTTCGTCGCGTTGAATTATAACGCTCGTTAATGATTTGATATGTATCTTGGATATATGTCTTATATCGAGAGTTATCGACGAGAGTCTCTCCAACGTGTACAACAGGAGCCTATTAGGAGATTATTAGCGAAATTAGACCGTTATTTTACGTTGCACGCAACTTTTCTTTGTATACCTAAACATTATCGTTACGTCCTACGACTTACAGTGCAAAAAGTATTCGTACAGAGAAAATATTATTTTTTAATTTTATTTTTAAAAAGTAAATATTATCCAGCTGGAAATAATCCATCGAATTGATGTCGAATCGATATAAATACGATGATTTCAACATTAATTTGATGTCGATTCGACGTTTAATTAACGATCATTTCTTGTTGGATAATTAACAATTTATTCATAAAGAATAAAATAGACTGTATGTTTCTTAAAATAATATATACTAAAAAGAGAGAGATGTGTATTAATTATACAAAATATATCATCTGAAAAATAAGCGAAAATTAAAAATTGTATTGTTTGAATGCTCAAAAAATATTCGTACAAACGAGAAATTTAGCTTCTAAAATCAAGAATATATGTGAAGCTCGTTTGTTTATGTTAGAACAGAATGTATTTACTGTATACAATTGTTAATTAATGTTTATTTTCTACAAATAAACCTTTTTTTATAATAAATTTCCTTGTACGAATACTTTTTGCTCTCGCTGTATTTATAATTCTATTCATAATTCACCGCGTTAACGATCAAAATCGATACGATTGGACAATCGATCAAAAATCTTTTTAACTTTGACTTGGCGAAAAACGCGCGCATACGATATGAAGTACTGATCATGAAGCACAAGAAACACCCGCGTGGAACTTGTTTCACCTTAGACTCCCGTAATGGTGTTACGAGAATCTCGCGTTGACCTACGTGCCCGTTTCTCGCCCGATATACAAGAAGAACTGGCACTAGTACGAGATTGGGCACCTTTAGTATGGCTTGCGCCTGGAGAACGATTCTTACCGCTCGGTGTAACCGAATTCCTCGATAACGTACAATCGGATCAGTATTACCTTCGCACTAAAATAGACGTAGGTAAATGTTCAAAATAACTATGACAAATGATACAAATACATTAATTCTTATATCATTTGTAGAATATGAAAAGTGCGATTCAATATTCATATATATATTGTACTATATACAGAGTCACGTGCGGAAAATCGCTGACTGATCTTTCAAATAAGACAATTTTTTGACAGAATCCTTATTACAAAATCGATCGTCCTTCTTGTATGGTCGAAAGCCCGCTGGAACTGTGCCCATCTATGCTCTCGTGAAAAATTGCATTTCCAAAGACATGCGGCTACGTGCGGCAAAAAATACGCCGATGCTGAAGACGTCCATGGAACGGAATACTTTCACGTTGATACAGGATCCAGGATTTTTGGCTCAACGACAGACCAACAGTGTCAGTGATCTAAGAGCACAAATTATATCGCAAGAACAAATACGACAGGTAAAATACGCGAAAATAGGCAAGAACTCAGTAAACGCCAACTAAAAGTAACGTAACATCAACGTTACAATTTTACACTCAACACTCTGATGAAAAAATTTTACTGAAATTGAACTGAAATTATTCCACGTTTTGAAATATTTCAACAAAATTGCTGAAAATTTCACTGAAAGTGAATTTTTTAGCTAACATACTGAAAAATTACTGAAATTGAACTGAAATTTCTCTGAAGTTTTGTTCAAAAAATTCGCTGAAATTAAATTAAAATTTTTCTGAAAGCTGAAATTTTCCTAAAGTGACTCCAAAACGTGGAATGTAATGTAACACACTTATTATATTACATCTATATTATTGAGTATGAAATTATAACATTGATGTATGTTATATATATCTTTTAGTTTATTGGAAATAAAACAAATATCTTTTTATAATTTTCGTAAATTTCAAATGAAAATTATTAAATTTGCTAAATTTGCACACATTATTGCTTTTGTTACCCTTAATTATTACTTCCGAAAATATGAAATAATCCAAAAGAAATAACGATATAATTATACCATTTCAATTCCAATTTCGTTCTCTTTTCTTTCACGCGATTCATTTCAGGCGGCAATAGTGCCGCGATTCGAAAAGGTCAGAGAAGAAAGTGGATGTCAAAAAGTGCACTTTCACGTGACCTATTGGATGTTCTATCCATTTAGCGAAGGAAAAACGATTTGCGTATTGGATCTTGGATTTTTTGGCAGCTGGCCGATACCTACTATTGGTGGCGTGTGCATAGGTACACTTAAAGAATATGGTAGTCACATCGGAGATTGGGAACATATGAGTCTTTATTTCAAGGTAAATCATCTTTAGCAATCCTTCAAAGTAAATTTTTTATCCATTATCATTATTCACATGAACATGCCTACCTAAATACGGTGTCGTTATTTAGGACAACGAATATCCTCTAGCAATGTATGTATCGGCACACGATGTCGGTGCATTTTATCAGTATGATCCGCGAAATGGTACTTTCGTCTATGAGAGTCAAGAAACGAGAAAGGGTCTCTTCCAGAAGCCAACATTTCCTGAAAAGGTTTATACCGCTGGTGATTCACACCCGATTTTATTTAGCGCACGCGGCTCTCACGGGCTTTGGACAGCTCCGGGCAAGCACAAGTTCGTTCGTGTACCTCGTCTGTACGACGAGAGTGGATTTGGAACTGCTTGGCCAACATGGAAAAGATTGGAGTTGCTCTTGGAAGAGGATAATGAGCCTTTACCAGGTTGGATGACTTTTAAGGGCAAATGGGGTAATCCAAGCAGCAATTGTCATCCACTAGCAAGACTAGGTTTTAATATTTGCGAATTTGTAGACGGCCCAACCGGAATTCCTATGAAAAAATTCAATTTTCGATGTTAAGACCTACTATCGCTAAAGTCGATTAGGCAAAAAGACTGAGACGCGCCGTTTCGACTCGAATTTTAAAATGATTGTGATATATGGTATACAGAATGTCCCATTTTAATTGCCCTAGGCAAATATCTCAACAAATATATAAAATATGAAAAAATGTTTTAGATGAAAAAAAAAGAACGGTTTTGAGAGGGATGTATTTTCGTCCTTTTTCTTTTTTTCTCTTTTTTTTAAAATATATAAAGGCTCTAAGGCCAGAATCAGACTATGCATTTAAGATTGAGATTAAACATTAAAGATTGAAATTTCACCAATGAGGACAAAGAAATTTTGGTTCCTTTTGTTCTAAATGGTCAAACTTCAATCTTTCAATCTTCAATCTCATTCTTCAATGCGTAGTCTGATTCCGGCCTAAGAAGATATAAAGGTCACCTCCGTTTTTTTAAATGAAATTGTGTAATTTTTTTACACAATATGATTCCTCCAATTATTCTGCATATAAAAGTATTAAGGTAGAAATATCAGAAAATTAATAATTTACGAAATATTTTATATTTTATTCTGGTATATATATTGACATGAAATATTAATATATATATTACCTAAAAAAACCCGTCCACTTAAAAAACCAAAATACATCTTCAAAATTATTTTTCTTTCATTTTTCATCAAACATTTTTTTCGTATATTATGTATTTTTTTTAAGATATTTGCCTGGGGCAATGACAATTGAACATTCTGTATACATAAGGTAAATTAATGCGATTTTAATGAGAATGCCAAAGATGGTTGACAATAATACTGGGGAGGACTTTACGTCTCAGTTTATTCAAATAATTGATCTTCATGATCACAACTGAAAAGTAATTTAGTGCCACTGATGTTTATTTAGCGGAAGTTTCGTTGGAAATTAACATCAATATCGATTGATATAAAATGATAAAATAGAATTTGTTTAATACATAATGCGTACATAATAAGTGATAAAGAATAAGTGATATTATTGCTTTTGCAGACATTTTGCGCGTGATATATTCTTAAGAGCAGTAGGCAAATATATATATCTTCTTTCGTGGAACTTAGCCATTTACAATTGCAACGTTTGCTGTAGTCTGATTACAAGATCTTTTGGCTATGCTGAGTTGTTCATTCATTTGAACTTTTAACTAGTATTCAGCACTTAAATGCTTAAATATTTATCAGCGAAAGACAGCTCGATAATAAGCAACATTATTCAGACATTTCATCTTCGTTGGTTCCTTCTACAGCAATACTGCGTATGCCGTTTCTCAACAATGGTGTACCCTTATCTTTAGCTAACACACGTGCATTCAGTACAATTTTTAATGGAGTACCTGATGGACAACACATCACTTCAACATCCTCTTTTAATATTTTCTCCTTATATGCCAATAGCTCAACTTTTAACCTGATAAAAGGATCAATTATTTCATTAGCTAGATCAGTTTAAAAAGAAAAACACTTGATTAACGTGATAAACATATATGTAACCAATGTTATACCTTAAGCCATCTTTTTCTTGTGCAAAATCAACAATATGACAATTTGCATTGTGACTTCCTGCAATTACTGCCGGAGCTACTGTCTTTTCGTCTGGATGAATACATGTGTTCCATGGTACTGAAAATTCTACATGATATCTGAAATAAATATATCACATATACATATATATATATGAAATATTTAAAAATTAATATACGCATTCCCTTTCCTAATATATTTTTGTATAGGGTAACTGTCTCGATTACTGTGCCTGTCCCTATTAGTGTGCTTTTGTATATATTTCGATAAGTCATAAAGAAAACTAGCACGAATAAATAAGAAAAAATATTTTTTCTTGTTAAGTTAAATTGTTAATGCATACGATACCGAAGATAATATTTTATTTTTTGAGTATTAAAGTATTTTAAATATTTTTCAAAAGATATGTGAGGAATTTATGTGAATCCAATAATATGTACTGCAAGATTTTAAGCTTGTCCCTATTAATGTACCCTGTATTGGAGTTGAAAACGTTGTGTTATAAGTGTGCATTGAAATAAATATAATTGAAATAATGATTTATGTAATATTAACCTAAACAATTAGCTTAAATTTATTACCTGTTTTAGTAACTATACGTTAAAATGAATAAAATGTAGATAGGCACACAAATTGGGGGCACATTAATAGGGCCATCGTCGCTTGGAGGACTCACTAATAGGGACAAAAACATGTTTTTTATTTTTGTCAAAAACATTATAAAGTATTAACATTTTTTAAATTAAAGAAATATTAGAAGAAAAAGAAATAGTTGAAAAACCGATATTGATTGCAAGCAGATAAAATTAAAGCTACAATATTTAATAATTAATTCAGTAATAAGCAAGTTGGCTAAAAGGCACATTAATAGGGACGGTTACCCTATATTACAAATTTTAATAAATAATTGTAATTGACAGAAATTAAAATTTAGTTTTTAACATTTAACATAGCAATCAGACTAATATAAAATTATAAAATATTTATATAAGTTTTATATATAACAAATAACCTGTGATACAGTTGCAAGAACCCTAAATGAGCATCTATATGACCATGTCGCTGTGGCTGTATCATAATATTGTTATCTTTTCCACATCCACTTCCACCGCTAAAGTGAACATGATGCTCTAAACATAAAAAATTTTGATTTACACATTTTATATAATCGTTAATAAAGAAAAGATAATCAAATACCTTTATCTCCCATGTTCCATAAAATAGTTTGGCAGGTTTAACAGTTGTAATTTCATACTGTTCGCCAAAAAGTTGATGAAACCAACTACCCAATACTTCTAATGACTGACGATGTAAAGTCTGGGATCGATTCTGTACCTTGAAACGAGGTCAAAATTACAAAAATGAGTGAATTTACTAGAATATTGATAATTTCATTGGTCAACACCTAGTAAATTTGCTCACTTTTGTAATTTTCACCTTGATTGAAGATACAGAATCAACCCCCTGGTCTAATAGCGTTTTCTCTTGAGATACACTAGGTGCAGTCTCACGCCGCACCAGTTGCGTGTAAGCGCTACACTCAGTTACAGTGCCTGTTACACTACACTAGAGTGGTGCATACCATGGTGTACACTGTATCATTATTATGCTAAAACTCTGTTCCCGCTTGACTTTTATTTTCAAATTTTAAATGTCACACTGGTTCTACACGATCTCTTTGAGACGGTGTAGCAAAATCCCACTTCGTGCATAAAATTTGCACTACACCGTAGCCATGGAAACACAGTACACTGTCTGAGTGTTGCACTAGTGGGCGATAGTGCAGCCAAGTAGTGATGCACATTTGGCTCCCCGGCAACACGGAATTCAGCCCCACCACTTGTACCCTCACCAAGCAGACTTAAGCTGGAAACACAATAGACACAGGCAATAGGCACAGGCAACAGGGAATAACGAGCCGTTCAATCAGAGCTCTGGGATATAATATCGAACTTATACCCCAAAGCTCTGATTGGACGGCTCGTTATTCCCTGTTGCCTGTGCATATTGCCTGTGTCTATTGTGTTTCCAGCTTTAGAGCTCTGAAGCCGCATATACACCTAGCGAACGAACACTGAACGAACGGTGAACGAACGGCGAACGCGAACATTCATTGGTTGCGTTCAGCAGATGTATACGTCAAAGCGAATGAGAATCGAACATTCAATTCGCGTTCGACTCGGTTCCCTCATGAAGCGGTACATCAAAGAAAATTCGTGCGCAATTCGTGCGCGGTGTAGACATGCAAATCACGTGTTCGCTATTTGACTGTTTGCCTAAGGCTGGAGTCCCATGAAG